AGGGTGTTGTTTAGTTTCCATGTGTTTACTCTTTTGGTGCTGATCCTCCTATTATTGATTTCTAATTTGATAGCATTATGATCTGAGAAGAGAATGGGGACTATTTTTAACTCAACTCAACAAACACTTGTTGCACATTACTGTGAGTATGACCATATGTTAAGTACAGATGGTGCAAAACTAGAAAAAGCACCCTTCCTATTCTTAATTACCTTAAAATTTTCTAAGGGAGCTAAATTCTAAATAAATATTTTCATTCCCACAACTACCCCCAAGTCAAAGCCACTATCATCACTTGCCTAAAACATAGCAATGGTCTCCTAAAAAGCCCCCATTGCTTTACTCTGATCTTTCTCTCACCCTGTCTTCTCTACATAGTCCTTTCCATTGCTCTTAGAGTAAAATGCAAACTCCTTCGTTTGGCCCGCAAGGTCTGAGAGGTTCTACCTCTGCTTCCTGTAAGGCCTCACTTCCTTTTGCTTGCCCATCTGGTTCAATATACTCAATCACACTGGCCTTTCTCTGCTGTGAACACAAGCTTGCTCTTACCTCAGACTTTTGCACTCGCTGTTTATTCTGTGTGAAACCCTCCTACCTGGCTCTTCACATACCTAGTTTAACCCAGATTTCAAACATCACCTCCTCGAAGATGCCTTTACCTGACCACCCTGTCTCAAGAAGCACTCCACTTTCTACCTCATCACCTTCCAAAGAAAACGTAATCCTGTTTATTTCCTACACAGCACTACTCACTTTCAAAGTCATCATTTATTTTTTACTTTTATACAATAATGATTCTAGTACCTAGAAGAGTGCCTTGTACCTAGTAAACACATTTTACAAACATTAAACTTAATAAAAACCCTTCCCTGAGAATTTTATGCTAAGTCATGACTTATATAAATCTGATGTTCTAAAACTGCACCGAAAGGCCTAATCAAATAAATCTGTCTGCCTGCCTATCTATCAATATTATGAAAACAAATGGGACATATGTTATAGAAGGAAAAGGCAGTATCAGGAATCAACGGATCCAGAGTTTAGTTATCTACAATTAACTTGGTCAAGTCAAATTCATTTTTCTAGTCTTCAGTTTACTTATTTGTACAACAGAGGGACTATATTAGATAATTTTAAAAGAACCCTCTAGTTCTAAAATTTAGTCATTTAAAGTACATCCCTCAAATAAAAATCAATATTCACTTACATGTACATTTTTTATAACCTCAGTACAGTGAAATAAGAATATCAAGCACTCAGTTATGGACTTTATGTCCATTTATAGATTAATTTTCCCTAAATCACTCCCCCTTTTCTTAACACCTCATTTTAAGTCCTTCTGATAATGCATGTATGCCAAAATAATATAAAATAATAAATGCCAAAATAATAATAAAATAAGATTAAAATAACCTGGGATATGAAGAAGAATCAGTTTTCACACATGCATTTAAAAATATATGTTTCCAAATACATAAAGACTAAAGAATTTGTTTTATTTTCAGTTAAAACTAAATGCAAACATTTCTCCTGTGAGAAATACCTTCTACCAATACCCCTGGAAAAAAATAATATAAAAATAGGAAAGAAAAATGATAGAAATAAGTGAAACTAACAAAAGCAAACCAAATGCACTGCTGTCGTGTCAGATCTGACTCACAGTGACCCCTCCTTGGGTTTCCGAGGAGGTATCACTAAGGAAGTAGATTGCTCAGTCTTCCTTCTGAGGAGTAGCTGGTGGGTCTGAACCGCTAGCCTTCTGGTTAGCAGTCAAATGCTTTAGGCACTACACCACAAGTCAGAATAATAGGGGTCAATTGATAATATTAGGGATTTTTCTTTCAATTGCAAGTTTAACCATAGCAATGATGAAGTTTAAAAGAAGTGACTATGAAAAACCTAAAGCTATAATAAAATGGGAAACAAGCTTAGAAGATGTGGTAAGTAGGACCAGATGGAGGCAAAGGAAGAGCAAGCAGCAAGACAGGAACAAACCCTATTTCATAAAATACAATGACAAGCGGACCTTTAACACTAGGGAAAACTAACCAGGAAACTCCTCCTAATAGCAAACGTACCCAAAATAGTAGGTATGAGAAAATCATAATTTAAAATACTTTGTATAAGTGAACTTGTAAAAATAAATTCTGCAGCAAACTTAAATAAGTCAGCTGCTATCTTAAATGCCAAAAAACCAGCACTGTAAAACAAAATCAGGATATACAATAAACTGTAAAATTTCCTGCTGCATTATGCTGGAAAGATAAAGCACCAAAATCCTAGGTTTGTAAACACCCACAGGATAATGTGAATAAATAAATGGACTTGTGGCTGGTTAAGTGTGTCTTCTATTTTATTATTTCCATTCTTCCACCAGAGTAGCCTGTCACTGATTTATTTTTTACTAGCTGGAAACTGGGAGAAGGAATTATATGTTATACAGGCATATTAGTTTTATTTCCTCAAGATTTAATTTCCTTCTACCTTTAAGTTTACTACTTGATCCTAACAAACTCATCAAAGCTAGCAGTGATTATAAAAAACAACATGTTTTTAAGAGATCAGCAATAAGTAAATGTCTTCAGCTCTTTGAAAGTCATTCAGACTGCAAATCTTGCAGAAATACAGATACCAAACACCAAACCAGTCATATAGTTCACCTTACTTAACATATGACTCACTACTAATGATATAGCAGAGTGTAACTGAGTTATGTTGTAAGCTCATTCTGAATTGATTAAGGCCAAGGCGGAACCGAATGAGACAGCCATGATTTATACTTGCTACAGCTTATCCTTGGCCTTAATCATAGGCTTTAAAAAGCTGGTGTACACTCATATCTTCCAGAAAGCAAGATTGTGAGACCAAAATGTAAACCTCTAAAATTTCAAAATGACATGCTCAATGAGCAATACTTTATCATTCAGAAAAAAAAAGGGAGCTAATACTTTATCTACTATGCATCACGCAAAGAGCTAGATGCTACCCTGGTGAGATGTCACTTAAAGTGTACATTGATCTTGAAATGAAGTAACTGTGGAATTAGTTTCCCCATTAAAGCTCTACAAAATTGCTGAAGGAAAACAGAATGTGTGGCTCTCTTTGATAGGACAATTTTGAACTGGAAGGAATGAATACAGTATGAGTCTAAATCTACAACAACAAAGTCAATTGCCTCTCAAAATGTACTTTCCCGGTAGTCATTTGCAAAACCTCTATCTCATATCAGCATCAACAGTAAATGTGAGCAACATGGAAAAAGAACTATCAACCACTCACCATAATGCATGTAACAGTTTCCTTTGGTGGGATCCAGATCAATAGCCTTCAAGAAGAACTTTTCAGCCTCACTCTTACGACCCTTGAAAAACAGAGAAAATGGATGATTCAGCAACGGATCATGAAGGATTCTTCACCTCCCGGCTTAAATGAAGTAGACTAATGTCTACTTGGTAATCATCATCAGGAGAAGTGTTTTGCTTTTATTTAAATGAGGATGAAAGAGAATACGTTGAGAGAGGACTGAAGTCTGAATCCTGGGAAACACTAAGATTTCAAGAATAGAAGAAGACAGTGAGCTCATCAAAGAGATCAAAAAGATGAGGCTAGGGAAGCAAGAGAATACATGAAAAACGATGGTTTCACAGAAACCAAAAGATTAAGAGAGTTTTAAGGAATGGTGAGTAACAGCATTATTATTTTGTCCCTCTTCAGTTCTTCTTCCTTGTATAGAAAAAGGGTAATTTTAGCCATTGAAATGAACTTATTATTATTTTTTTACATCTAACTGCTCACTTTATATATGAAGATCGTCACAATTTAGTGAAGTTCAAATGACCTTTGCTGTTCATTCAGAACTCAAAACCTGCTAATCCAGGATTTAATCTACAGATACATCATCTCCTTAGCTATATTGTTCAATCAATATTATCATCATCCACAGAAGAATATAAGCAAAACATAGGGGAAAAGTTTTACTTGCAATAAGTTGATTTATAATGAAATGGTACCATAATTCAGGTAGAATCTAAAAGTATGCATTTTCAATCTAGTGCTAATTTAGTTATTGTTTCTAACCCAAAAGTGACTACACAGTAACACAAAGGAATGGCCTACCATAGGAGAACAGCCCTGAGACCTGTCCTGGAGCAGTTACATCTTGTTGGAATGGTTGGAAATAAGTACTATGCTGAACGCATTTAACAGCTAAGCCCCTGATGATGTCCAGAGTGTATAACGATCTTACCTGCTTGTCCCTACTAATGTATACACTATCAACCACATTAACTTCAGGTGATGTGCTATCTCTCTTTATATGTCTATATATATTTAAGATCACTGTTACAGAGATGAGGAGTTCTGGTGGCGCAGTGGTAAAGCATTTGTCTGCTAACCAAAAGGTTGGCAATTTGAACCTACCAGCTGCTCCACAGAAGAAAGATGAGGCAGTCTGCTTCTGCAACAATTTACTGCCTTGGTAACCCTATAGAGTAGTTCTACTCTCTGCTATAGTCAGAATTTACTCAATGGCAGTGGGTCTAGTTTTACTTTTTTAGAGGTGTAGAGTTAATCTAATATTTAACGTGCCATACAACTAACTCATTTATTTACACCCACTATTATGTTCCTTCATTCAGAAAAATTCACTTTTGCTGCAATCCTTCATTTAACCTTTATTGAAGCAGCTAGGACCTAGCCTATAGCTTCTGCCACCTATAGTTGGTAATAACCAAATGATCAGCTACTGCACCTCCTCATTTCTTCATTCATTTTCATAATGCTATTTTATTAAGTCCTCTTCAAATCATAAGTGTTGTCAAATACTCAATAAAAAAAATATAAAAAAATTCTCTTCAAGAATTGCCACAGCAATTTAACTTCAAAAGGAAAAGGGAAAGCACAAACAGAATGCTTCTTACATAAAACATACTTTCATGAAGTTATTAAAAATTAGCAAGAGCTCTGGTAGCATAGTGCCTAAGGCACTTGACTGCTAACCAGAAGGCTGGTGGCTCAAACCCACCAGCCATTCCTCAGAAGGAAGGTTGAGCAATCGACTTCTGTAGTGATACTTCTTGGCAACCCAAGGAGGGGTCACTATGAGTCAGGGCTAACTCGACAGCACATAACAACAACAACAACACATCATTCAATAACTGTAATGAATCACTGAACATACAGTATGAATTAACAGCATAGATTCTAAACCAGCTCCCACACTTGTTCAGCTGTATGATCCCTAGAAAGGCACTTCACCTCTTAGTTGCAATATTCTCAATTTAAAAGAAGATGGTTTAATATTAAACCCTATCTTATAGGATTATTGTAATACCTGAGATGATACACATAAAATGATTATCACAGTATCCAGGTATATAGTAAGTTTTCAATAAATGTTAACTATTAATAGTAAGTTTTTTTTTTTATATATACAATAGAAGGAAAGATTGTTAAACATGATGTATATATCATATGGTAATAAAACACATGCTCACCACTTAAATCATCATCAGAAAATGATATACAAAGAATCTGAGGCAGATAATAATAAAAGAAACACATGAAATGTAAGCAATTATTGGTAAAGAGTCTGTACAATGTTATATGCAAAGATACAAAGAACATGTGCACTTTCTTACACTTTTCAAGAACAGAAGAAAAGAAATTGGCTCACTATTAACACCACAGTCAAAAAGGCAGAAAATTCTTGCTTGTAGTTGATTGGCAAACAATAATTTGTAGCTTTAAAAAAGAAGCATCAGAACACAAAGGTCTCTAGTTGCTCAGTGGCCTAGGTTATTAATAAATCCCACCATGTCATAATGCAGAATATACAAAATGAAGGCCTGAAAACACTTTCCCAGTGAACTACTGTTGTCAGGTGCTACGAAATTGGTTTCAACTTATAGTGACCCTATGTACAACAGAAAGAAACAGTGCCCAGGCCTGCACCATCCTCACAACTGTTGCAACCTTTCTGTCAGTTCATTTCATAGAAGGTCTTCCCCTTTTTCACTGATGTTCTACTTTACAAAGAATGATATCCTTATCCAAAGATTGGTACTTTCTGATAACATGATCAAAGGACAAAAAATGAAGTCTGGCCATTCTCGCTTCTAAGAAGCATTCGGCTGTACTTTCTCAAGACAGATTTGCTCTTTCTTCTGGGAGTCCATAAACAAAAAACAAAAAACAAAAAACAAAAAAGCATCCATTTTTCTGCCTTTCTTATTTATCATGTAGCTTTCACATGCATATTGAGAAGACAAAAGGCTTGAGTCAGGTACACCTTAGTCTTCAAAGTGATTTCTTTGCTCTCTAACATTTTAAAGAGGTCTTTTGCAGCACATTTGCCAATGCAAAACATCTTTTGATTCCTTGACTACTCCTTCTGTGTGCATTCATTGTGAATCCAAGTAAAATAAAATCCTGAGAACTTCAATCTTTTTTCCATTTATCATAATGTTGCTTACTGGTTCATTTGTGATAATTTTTGTTTTCTTTGTATGTTGAGGTGTAATCCATATTGAAAGATGTAGTCTTTGATCTCCAAAAGTAATATCGAGTCTGTCTTAGTCTGGAAACTCTACTGAAACTTGTCCACCAGGGTGACCCTACTTGTATTCGAAATACTGGTGGCATAGCCTCATAGCAACATGTAAGTCACAAACGTGCAAATACCACAAACTGACAGACAAGTGGTAGAATAACTACTTCAAGTTCTCTTCACTTTCGGAAAGCCAGATTGTGTCATCTGTATATCACAGATTGTTAATGAATCTTCCTCCAGTCCTGAGGCCACATTCTTCTTTACACAGTCCCGTTGCTTGGATTATTGGCTCAGCATACAGGCTGAGTAAGTAAGGTGAAAGGATATAACTCTGACCACAACTTCCCTGATTTTAAACCACACAGTATTTCTTGTTCTGTTTGAATGACTACCTCTTGGTCTATCTATAGGTTCGACATGAGCAATATTAAGTATTCTGGAAGTCCCATTCTTCACAATGATATTCATTATTTGTTATGATCCACACATTCAAATGCCTTTGCATAGTCAACAAAACACAGTTAAACATCTTTCTGATATTCTCTGCTTTCACCCAAGACCCATTTGTTATCAGTATGATATACCTAGTTTCATGTCCTCTTCTGAATCCAGCTTGAATTTCAGGAAATTCTCTACCTCTGCTGGCTTAGTGCCTATGGCATCTCACTGCTAACCAGAAGGCTGGAAGTTCAAACTCACCAGCCACTCCTTGGAAGGAAGATTGGGTAATCTACTTCCATACAGATACTGCCTTGGAAACACAAGGAGGGGGCTCTATGTATGAGTCGAATTCAACTCGACAGCAGTGAGTATACTGCTGCAAGCACTTTCATGTTAGTTCAGCATAATTTTACCTTCATGTGATGTTATTGATATGGTTGTATAATTTCCACATTCCACTGGATCACTTTCTTTGAAATGGGAAAGGATATGGATTTCCTCCAGTAGGTTGGCCAGATAGTTGTCTTCCAAATTCTTGGCACAGAGGAGTGAGTGCTTCCAGTATAGCATCTGTTTGTTGAAACACCTCCATTGTTATTCCGTCAATTCCTGAGGCCTTGTTTTACATCAATGTCTTCAGTGCAGCTTGGACATCTTCCTTTAGTAACACTGGCTCCTGATTATATGCCACCAACTGAAACGGCTGAGTATCAACCAATTCTTTTTGATACAGTGATTATTTATATTCCTTCCGTCTTCTTCTGATACTACCTTCAAAATGCTTGCTTCATTCATAGTTTTGCCCATTGAACCCTTCAATATTGCAACTTGAGTTTTTTCTTCAGTTCATTCAGCTTGAGAAATGCACATATGTTCTTCCCTTTTCATTTTCTAACTGCAAGTCTTTGCACATTTCATTGTATTTTACTTTGTCTTCTCGAGATACTCTTTGAAATCTTCAGTTCTTTTACTTCATCATTTCTTCATTCTCTTTAGCTATTTTCATTCAAGAGGAAATTTCAGAATCTGTTCTGACATCCACTTTGGTCTTTAATTTCTTTCTTGTCTTTTTAATTACCTTTTCCTTCCTGCATGTGTGATGTCCCTGATGCCATCCACAACTTGTTTGTTCTTCAGTCATTCATATCCAATGCCTCAAATCTATTCTTGAGATGGTCTCTAAATTCAAGTGGGATATACTCACAGTCATACTTTGGCTCTCATGCACTTGTTGTAATTTCCTTCATTTTCAACTCTAACTTGTATGAGTGACTGTCAGTCTATTCCGGAATCAGTTCCTGGCCTTTTTCTGCCTCATGATATTGAGCTTTTCAAACTGCTCTTTCCACAGAGGTAGTTGTTTGATCTTG